AATTTTTATTCTTGTAGGAATCATGATTAAATTGTTTAAAGTAAAGGAAAAACAGAGGGAACTTGCTGAAAATGCCAATGGGAAGCCTCCAGTCAAGAAGCAAAGTGCTGGAGAACTACGCCTTCACAAAGGTATTTTTAGTTTCCTGTAATTAAAAATGGTTAGACTTCATGATGGATTTCGTTATAGTTAAATAATATTTAGTGGGCTTATGAGTAGAAATCTCATTAATTTATTATTATTCTAAAACTATCATTTCCCCTTCCTATATAAGCATGATAGTGGGCTTCTGAGGGAAAACCTTCATCTATTTATTTTAATTCTAGAAATAAAACCTTCATCTGAGTGCTATTCTAGAAATAAAAGCTTCATCTGAAATGTAAGTGGGAAATTCTAAAAAGGAATATGTAGTTTCTGCCTTTCTGGTTTCTCGTGGTTGTCATGCTTGCTTGCTGGTCCAGTGGCTACTCGTTTATTTCTATATATTCATTTACTTCTCGTTAATTCTCGTTTTAGTTCTGATTTTCTTGTTGATAATTTGAATTGAGACATGAGCTGTAACATTGTAATTTAGAACTAGTTAATAGAAATCATTGATACAAACCGACCTAACCCGACCGGCACATAATTAGGTTGGGTTTCAACATTTACATGGGTTGAGTTGGGTTGGATTTTAAACAAACCGACAATGTTGGGTTCGGTTTGGGTTGGGGCAAAAACCGACCCGACCCAACCCAACCCAACCCAACACAACCCACGCCCACCCTTAATTGCATGGAGAAGAGCAACACCACCTCTTGCCACATGGATGGGCAGCCTTTCATTTAACCGCCTGTTTTGAGACCTGATTCCAGCGGCGTCGGAAGGCTGGAATTGGAAAATGCGGGATGGAAAAATCTTACCATTCATTTTTTGGACCGTTTAATTTGGTCAACTTCGTAAATTTAGAGATTAGGTCACGACATCGGTCCAAAATATTTCGATACTCAAATTAATGAAGTCCATGTAATTATCATAAACGAATTCAAACTTGAACAATACCCATAATAAAATTATGAACTGACAATACAAATTATGTTATTAATGTTTAGCAGAAATATGAAAAGTAAAATATAAAGTGAGGATGTAGTGGGATTTGTAAGGGACGTAGAATTTCATGTTTGTTGTCTCATTTACTTATTCAATTTTTTTAATATACTTTATACTCTTTAGAATACATTTCAAATGGTAATCACATAAAATAAATTAAATTAAAATAAAACACAATAGTCGGGTAGGTGATCATGTTCCCCACACTCATCCCATTCCCCAAAAGGCAAGAATTTCCCACTTCATTCAGAGTGAGACAACCTAGAGTTGGACGAGGAAGGGCCAGATCGGATCATTTTGCTATCCCTAAATCAACATATATATCATAGGAAAAAGTCACGAGTACAAGAAATTTTTGACAAAATTCTTACTGACACTGATGTGATTGTAGATGATTGGACTATTTTCTCTCTCTCTCTCTCCATATTCCAATCAGTTCTCGCTATGTGTTGTTTGTCAAAATTTTATGTGCTTGTAGCATTATTGTATATCATATATGTCGGCTGTAAAGAATCTTTGGACCGCTAATCGTATTAGTGGAAATTACATAAATCCAGGTGTTTAAAGATTACTTTTTAAAAATCAGATCTAAAGTTTATTTATTCAAAAATCAGGTACTATATTAAAACACTAATTAATAACCCTAATTTATCACTCTCTACTCCCTCCCCTCCTATTCCCCTTCAAACCCCGACAACTGGCGATGAAGGAGCTGCTCCAGCCAACACCACACCACAAGCCCCCGTCGTTGTCGGCGTTGCAGATTAAGTAGGAGAAGAGAAGGGGTGCTGTTGATGGTGTGAGGCAGAGGCAGTGGGAATCAGTTTTTTTTCTTAGTTTAATTTCTTCGCACAGATCTGTGGAGTTGTGATTTGTGGTGGTCGATGGTGGAGGTTTTGGTGTGGTTCGCGATCGTTGCTGTGACAGCGACGATGGTACGGTGCAGTAGGGTGGCGAGGTGGTTGGTAGTGGTGTTTGACGGTGGTACGGTGGTGGTGGTCTGTGAGATAATGGTGGCCCGTGTGGTGGTGGTCCTTTTTTGTTATTGTTGTGGTGGTGTTGTGGCGGGGTCGACGACGGTAATGGTGGTTTTTTTGGTGTTGTGGTGCAGGTGGCGATGGTGGTGGTTGTG